AACCGGCCCGTTCCCCCCCAAAGCGGCTACCTTCCGTCCAGGATTCATGGATCGAGGCTTTCTGGCGGAATTTCTCCGCCAGGTGGTCGAGCCGCTCGAGCCGCCGGATCTCGTTGAGCAGCCACTCCTCGTAGCCCTTCTCCGCCTGCTCCAGGTGCTGCCAGCCCGTGTTGATATCCTGGAAAACCGAGGGATAACCGCGCTGAACCCCGGGAGAGGCAGAATTCCAAGCGGGAATTCCGGCCCGGACTCACCGCCACCATCCTGCCCTCGGAGGGCATGAACGCGGGCCGGTTGCTGAGGCGCAGCTTGGTCTGCAGGGTGTTGAAGTTGATTTCCAGCTGGCATTTTTCCTGAACTTTGGGAGGTTTGTGGATGCGCCGGTAATCCCGGAAATCCTCCAGCTTCTGCTGCATCTCCTGGATGGTCTTCTGGGGGCTGCGGTCTTCCAGCCAGGGAATGGTGCGTTTGATCCATTCCAACAGCTGCGGGAAGGGGCGGAAAAGCGGGATGAGCGCCGGGATCGGGAAGCGGCGCGCGGGATATCCCGGGAAAAGCGGCCTTACGTCGGACGCCAGTTTCTCATAGTCTTCCATGAGGTGCTCGTTTTCCTGGTTCACGGCCAGCACTTTGCAGATCCGGTTCGCCGCCGTTTCGGCCTGGAAAAGGGAGGCGGGAAGCGTTGGAGCCATCCGGATCCCTTCCCGGAGGCTTTTCCCTTTATGGATCCCCCCTGCTCCCTTCCTGCTGTCTCCAAGGTTTTTCCTCCGCTGCTTCCCGGAGGGGCCATTCCAGGCGGCTGGAAAAGCAGCCGGCGATTGGGAAGATCCCCCTTTGGCCAAGGCTCCGAGCTGCCCTTTTTCCCAAGGGTTTTCCCCATCCCACTGCCTCCTTGGGAAGCAGCACGGGAAGAATCCAAGAGCGGGAAGGGATAAGAAACGAGGAGGGAAAAGGAAGCGCCGCAAAATGGGGCCAAAAAAGCCCAAAGCAGAGCAAGGGGAAGGTCCCCGAGGGTCCCCAAAAGTGACAAAAGCCAAAGGGATGGAGAGGATCTTTCCAGGCTTCCCGATGGAGGCGGGATGAGGAAGAGGAGGCAAGGAGGAAGAGCAAGGGCTAAGCCTGCAGCAGGCGCCCCCGGGGCACCTTATGAAAGCAAAATAAAAGCCAAAAAAAGGCGAAAACGGGAGCGTGGCCGGGCAGAGCGGGATCGGAGCGGGTTCCCGCGGCCGCATCCCGGTTTTCAGTGGCGTTTCGCTCCGGATCCGTGCGGCAGCCCCCAGCCAAGCTCACCTTCTGCGCCCCGGAAAAAGCGTGGTAGAAGCAGGACACGTAGGTCATGATGGCCTTCTCATCGGGCCTCAGCGTGCCCACAATATCTGCGCACAGGGGAAAAAAAGCCAGGAAAGAGGCGTGAAGGAAGCGGGAAAACCCTCGGATGCGAATCCAAACCGCAGCCGGCTCAGCGGGGCGGTTGTTTTCCAAGGAATTTGGCCAGGCTTGGCCTGGGATGTTGCTTTTTAAGCACGTTTGAGACCCTGCGTGAGCAAGCTGGGGTTTGGATCCCCGGGAGGCAACAGGCGGCTGAAAGAGAATTCCCATGCCGGAGTCGGGAAGCGGGATGGACACAGCCGCCTCCGGTACCTTCTGAGCCCCGGAAAAGGCATGGTAGAAGCTGGACACATAGGTCATGATGGCTTTTTCGTCAGGGCGGGCTGTGTTGACAATGTCTGCAAGCGAACGACAAGGGTTAGCCGCGGGATGCGGGAATTCCCGGGAGCCGGGAGCGCTCGGAACGCCGCGGCTCGGAGGCGGCTCTTCCTTACGCTGGGACTCCCCGAAAAAGCAGCGTTCGGTGGTCGCTTAAATACACCTGTATGAGCAAAAGGGGGTTAAGAGCAGCCCCGGCGCCCTTCCCAAAGCCCCGGTGCCCAAAAAGGTGGATTTTCCATGGAAAAAGGCCACGTGGAGGAAGGGAGGGCCGCTTACCCTCTGCATCCAGCATCTTGGGAATGTCCAGGAATTTCTCGGCCACTTCGAAGGCGTTGTTCAGGTTTGTCACGGGATCATCCTGGAAAAACAAGGGGGAAAACGGCACTGAAGGACAGTGTGTCCGCGCTCATCCCAAATCCCGCTGTTTGCCGGATCTCTATCGCTTTCCCATTCCCACGCGGCTGCAAAGGCTCCATCCCGAGGCCTTTTCCAACCCTAAGGATTCCCGGGATCCCAAGGGAGCGTCCGGAGGCGGGAATAACGGGAATGCGGCGCGTTACCTTGCGGAGCTTGTCGTACTCGATGAGCTCGGGCCGGTGCCGGTGGATCAAGGCGTTGAAGGCCAGGCCGTCCTTCCAGCTGTAAGGAATGAGGCGGGAATGGGAAGCTCCCACCGGGAAAAGGGACAAGGGACAGGGATAAGGGACAAGGGACAGGGATAAGGGACAAGGGACAATGTGGCCGGTACCTGATGTGGAAGTTCTGCACGTTGACGTTCTTGTACGGGGCCGTCTTGCGCTGGCACCACAGCAGCAAACCCTCCTTGGCCGAGGTCTCTGCAAACGGTACCGGTACCGGGGGATCGGGGCGGAACCGGGCCCGGATTGAGTGGGAAATGGCACCGGAGAGGGGGGAACCGGGAGCGGAACCGAGCCCGGATCCAGTGGAAAACAGCACCGGAAAGCGGGAATCTGGGAGTGGCTGGAAAGGGCCCTGGAAAGTGGGAATCCGGGAGTAGAACCGAGCCCGGATTGAGGGGGAAATGGCACCGGAGAGGGGGAAACCGGGAGCGGAACCGAGCCCGGATTGAGGGGGAAATGGCACCGGAAAGGGGAATCCGGGAGCGGAACCGAGCCCGGATTGAGGGGGAAATGGCACCGGAAAGGGGGAAACCGGGAGCGGAACCGAGCCCGGATTGAGGGGGAAATGGCACCGGAGAGGGGGAAACCGGGAGCGGAACCGAGCCCGGATTGAGGGGGAAATGGCACCGGAAAGGGGAATCCGGGAGCGGAACCGAGCCCGGATTGAGGGGGAAATGGCACCGGAAAGGGGGAAACCGGGAGCGGAACCGGGTCCGGATTGAGTGGGAAATGGCACCGGAGAGGGAGAAACCGGGAGCGGAACCGAGCCTGGAACCAGCTGGAAACGGCCCTGGAAAGGGGGAAACTGGGAGCCCGGACCGGGCTGGAAACGGCACCGGAATGGGGGAACCTGGGGGCAGAACCGAGGCCGGAGCGAGCGGGAAACGGCCCCGGAAAACGGGAATCTGGGAGCGGAACCGAGGCCGGAGCGAGCGGGAAACGGCCCCGGAAAACGGGAATCCGGGAGCGGAACCGAGGCCGGAGCGAGCGGGAATCGCCGCGTGTCCCCTTGTCCTGTCACCTTCCACGGAGATGTCCTGGATGGCGAAGCGCAGGATGATGGTCCAGATCATTCCCAGCGTCATCTTGGCATTCCCATCCACGATCTCTGCGGGCGGGAAAGGGAATGCGGAGCTGCGGACGAGCCCCTCGGGAAGCGACGCATTCCCAGGCGCTTCCCGGAGGGACCAACCGCATCCCGCTAGGAAAACCCGCTTCCAAAGCCTCCGGGGAAGCCTCGGAGCGCTGCGGCTCACGGCTTTGGGCAGCGGCGAA